CCCCCCCCCCCCCCCCCCCCCCCAAGTGGTGATTTTATACCTCGAAAAGAAAGCTCTATTTGTCCCCAAAAAATGTGAACATAAATTGCAAGGCCGATAGTCCGGTCATGCTGACTGGTGACATTTTTGACTGACTGGTGAGACACCATCAAATTTTTCAAGCCCTGAGTATAGGCATGCCTGATGGAGGGGCAAGTATGAACAGTCTTCTTTTGTGAGGACCCTTTTTTAGAAATAATTGCCAGCTGTAGAATGTGCTCTGATTTGGGGGTGCCCTTAAATTACTGATGAACAACTGAATCTTAAATACGTGTTGGGTTTATTTACAAATAGGGATATACATACATTCTAATACAATTAAGGGAATTGAAAGGGGAATTGGGGATAGGAATTGAGGTTAAGGATCCTATAGCTAGCTACACCATTCTCCCTCTCTCTCACACATGCCATGGGGTTTTTCTCTCTGCTCTCAGGACACGCCTCTCCAGCAGGTCTCAGTGAATCACATTCTTGATTGCAGAGTTCAGAAAGACTTGTCTTGTCCAAAGGTCTTGCTGGTCAGCTAGGTTAGTGTCACACAGGAAGAAGGTTCCATCAGATGCCCCTGCCCCCATCCCAGCATATATGCCTTGCTGCAACAGAATCAGTTTGAATCAGGGGTAAGCAAACTCCAGCCCTCCAGCTGTGGTGCATCTGCAAATCCCATCAGGCATTCGAAAGACTCTGACAGCCACAAGTATGACTCACAAGAGATGGATGATGGGGGGCACCACAGCTGGATGGCTGGAGTTTGTCTACTACTTTAACTTAACATAAAAAGTACTAAAAATTAGCAGGAACCCAGCAATACGTGTAGACACCTTAGTTTGCTTCCTTGAAACGTCAAACTCTGACCATTACCCATACACACATTAGTTAACTGAGCTCCTTTTAAAGCAGACCGATGCTCAAATGGTAACATAAAGTCAGGTTTTTCAGATTTTCTGGGATTAGTCAAAGAAACGTATCAGAAGGACTCATATACCTACCTGGTGAGAACACTGCTCGGGGATCCCCGGGATACTGCTCCCTTCAGTACTGCTCATATGTCTGCAAACATAAATATTCAGTCACATGATGTTGGCTAAAGCCTTAAAAGAGAACTACGGGGTAACCTTTCTATCCCATAGTTCTCTTTAGGGTCACGGGAGGACATATACTAACCTCCTTCCATGACCCAAAGCTCAGTATATAGCGGGCTACAGCTCGCTATATACCGAGAGCACTGCAGCCGGGACGGATCTTGACATTACTGCCGAGATCCACCCAGCTAGCTGATTGACAGCGGTCTCTGCCTATCTAGACGCAGAGCCAGCTGTACCCGCCCTCTCTGTTCCTCCACTCAGTGCTGGAGGGAGGGGGGAATCCCTGCGGGGAACGGTGACTGACAGTGACGGCTCTCCGCAGGGAAATGATCGGAAAGTGAGCGAGCGACGGTATGCGTTCGCTCACTTCCCGATCGATAGAGCCGACCTGTGACAGCTTCTTTGTCACACGTGGGCTCCAACTATGAGGATGAGTGTAAATCACTCCCCTCATAGTTCTCCTTTAAGTTTTGGATAGAGCAGGAAAGGTTACAACTTGTGTCAGGATTTTATGGCTCTCAGTGCAGTAGACTTTCCTGTTACAGTGGTTACCATGACAGGAATTGAGGAGTAAGGGTTAGTGCTCGTCAGGTCCCTATTGGGTAGATTGCCCATGACTTCCTATAGTTGTGATGGAGTTCACTGCGGCAGAACGTTAGAGAAGATCTTCCAGCGCGAATGCAACAAGAGTAAAATTTAGAGGTTTTGATACCCCCCCCCCCCCACTATATACAAAGTTAAACAAGCTGTGATTGATCCTTTTGCTATATCTGAGGCTGCTGGTAGTGGGTGGTCTACTGAACATGTCTCTTCCTTGGTCTCTTGGTAGACATTTTGCCGCAGTGGACGCGAAGAAGTTCCATGACATCTGGGTAATGAATGAGGAGGAGATAAAACAGTTGGTGCTCCGAGCACTGGAGGCCGATCGAATCATCCAGGAACAGCAGCTCGGCCTGCCATGGATTGCTCCGGATCTCCAGTTTATGGAAAATGTCGGACCTCTGGTACCTCAGCCCAAGGAGCAGAAGTCTGCCACCAGGCTGGCTCAGGAGGTCATGGCTGCTACAGGTGAGCGTTGTGTCTTCTGATATATAATCTGATCACAGTGATATTGGGGGAAACACAAATGTGGACAGTGGGGAAGCCAGATATTCTGTCACCCGGGCAGCAAAGGCTCAGAGTTGCTCCCCACGAAGGGGAGAAGTTCTTTATCCACACACCCAGTGGCGCCCCTCCTAAAGCGTCACCTGGGGCACATGCCCTCCCCCCCTCAGCCTCGGCTCTGAATGTAAAGCTATGTGACCTTCTCCCGAGGGATTATATGTCCTTCTCAAACACTCGTACTGTAAATGGGTAATGAAAAGTATTCAGTGACTGTATGCTATCCCCCCACCCGTCACTCCTGGGGATTCCACATCCAGTGCATGTTCTTGGATGTATGTTGTGTGGCCATTATGGATACAAACTCTACTTAGTTGAGTTCTTTAAACCCTTTCGCTGCCAAGCCCTTCGGAGTATTTTGCATCTCAGCTGGCCACGCCATTTTTTAAATTTTTCCCATTGATTTGATTTTCAATTGGTGCACGTGTATGTTATGTGTGTCGGGGGAGGGAGGGGTTGTGTTTTTTTTAAATTATTATTAATTTTTTTTACACATTTATTTATTTATTTTTTTATCATTTTCATTTTTTTAAACATTTTTTATTTATTTTTAAATTTTATTTATGTATTTTTTTTTTTACTGTTGGGGGGGCTACGGGGAAATATTAGGGGTCTAAACAGACCCCTGACATTTCCCTTTTGAAATAGAAAAAGAAATTGAGGACACAGAGTCCTTAATTTCTTTTTCTGCAGCC